ATGACAGAAGAGCTTTTGGAGACTCAGTCCTGGCTGGGAGGTAAGATGTGGTGGTGTACACCAGTGGTTTTTTGGTCAGTGGTGCAATCTTTGTGCAGCATCTCTTTAATTGTGATGATTGCATTAATGTCCTAGTGTTGCACACCAGAGATTTGCATGACAAGCGTATTTATCGCTTGCTTGTAAGTTTAGGGCAAATACGAGATCGCACTGTGTGCTGTACAGATGTATTACCAAGGTATCTAAAGCATAAGCTGAGACCTGCATATGGCATTTCAGAGTGTGACTATCCTCACCTTACAGACCAACCAAAATATCCCACAATGTATTATGTGCCCCCTTTCTCTGTCTAAGCACCCAACCACCCACCTCATGAAGCTGCGGAAAATATTTATCATATTGCATATTGCATCCAGGCAGTGACTTTGACCGGCAGTAAGATACAAGGCTTGTATGGCCCCTTTACACCATACGCACAGAAGGTGGGTTTCGTTAGTGCTAAAAATAGGAGGAAGAAGAGCATGGCCCCATCTCCTAACTTCCTATTGCTGATGGAACGAACAACCTATGAAAGACAGCAGACGACACTGCATGCTGCGCCCAACGCACCTTCCATCAACACAATCTATGTTCGTGGGTTCTGGTACGCTGGAACTGCACAAATCAGTGGTCGGGTATTGCAGTGTGCTGGAAGTACAAGAGGAAATAAGGCTGTGTGTTTTGTGGCTCTGAAGCCTCCACTGTGTTCTGAGAAGACCTTGTGTGACTCCCTGGGTTGGTTTCCTTCACCATTCTCACCCTTGGTGAGTTGGCTTCCCACGGGGAGCAGGCAGGAAGCGACACTGACACCGCCGGCCTCTGATCCTTGCAGGTTGCGGAGCTCTGTGCCCTTTAAAAGGAAGAGAGCTGCCTTGGGGGGCCAAAAACTTTACTTTTCCCATGACATGGTGTGCTCTGAGGAATCTGCTTGTCTCTGCAGTTAACACTGCTATTACCAAGTAAAGCCTTTCCAGGAATGTGATAAATGTATTTTCAGCATGATGGTCTGCGTGATCTGTTTTTAATGAGTTATTTTTGGAAGGAGGACTGCAAAGCTAGTAGCATCTTTTTATGCTTGTAGGTAGTGTAACAGCCATCTCTTCGCAGGTAGTGCTATTGCATGAAAATTGCTTTGTAGATCCTGGTGGTAATGAGAGCAGGATAAGATCAGAGTTGTGTGTATAGTAGAGAAGGGGAAATTGTTGTAGGAGCCGTTCAGAAACCTTACAGAATACAACTCAGCTCCACATCTGCTCCGATACGATTTAAGTACAATTTAAAAGGGCTTCTAGAGCTTCTTCCTGAAACACAACAGCTTCTTGGGCTATGCCTTTGCTGTTCGTTGTACGATTGTTCGTAAAACAGCTGTCACAGAGCTCCTCCTTGCTGCTCCCAACAGGTGAAGTCAGTCACTAGAGACCTACTTTTGAGAGTCAATCATGGTTTTAAGCTAGCAGACTTGCTGTTGCTTCGTGAGTCTTCCAGATGAGATTTGCAAGAGGTGTCATGTATTAGATCTACTGCTGTAGCTGGGAAAAATGACAAGCATGCGAGCCTTTTACTACCATGCCTAATGGCCAGGAGAAGTCACCACTTTGGGTTTCAGCTTAAAGCACCTGTATTTCTCCTGCTACGGCGAAAGCACAATGAGCAACAGTGAGCTAGAAAATGTTATCCATGAAGCATTTAGTAGAAATCTGCAAATCTGTTCCCGTTTGGTATTATATCACAGCCTATGCAGGCTGCCGTATTTCATCGTGTGAGTATGACTGTTCCTGCCCTTCAGCCTTTGGGCTGCAACTGGAACTGTTCCCTGTTAGAAAGTGTTCACGGTGTGGTGTAAGAAACCACTTCAGTCGCTGTCACAGTACTGTCTACTTAGTGGATGCTTTGGGACGTTTCAGCTGGGATCCACCTTGTACTTGCCTGTCATTGCCCTTAATGCCATGCTGGACCTACTGTTGCGTAGCTTCATCTTTCCTGAGGAAGGGAGGGAGGGAATACCTAAACATTTCTAGGAAAAAGTTCCTTTGATTCCTCAGCGGCTGCCTTTGAGGGAATTCCCCACCCCTTGCAAGTGCTGTAGAGCTAGGTCATAGGTAAGTTTGGTTTATGTACAGACCCGCATGACGCTCTGGTGCCCCGTGCCTCCCTGTCAGCGGCAGCAGTTCAAGATCCGTGCTCATGGCAATTAGAAACAGTGCCAACATCAGTCTGGGCTTTTGAGTTTGCACTCATCTGTCTTGTAGCCTCCCCCTTTTTGCCTTCTGCAGAGGGAGTATGGAAGCACCATCGTGAAGCTCTCCCTGAGGTTATAAATAGCCCTACTCCATCTGAATGAGTCATGTGTTTGGGCTGACAGTACTGGGCCCTGAGCACACGGCTCGTGCGTACAGGATATCCTTACACAGGCTCTTTGCTCTTCCAGGCTCCCCCTGCTCAGACATCCTGCGTGCATCCTGGTTTTTACTTTGCAGGCCCATTAAGGGCCCCTGAAATAACAGCTGCTGGAAGCGGCTTCATGCCCTCCCTTACATGTTGCATAAAGCGTGAAAGAACTACTCGTTTATGAGAAGGCTAATCTCTCAGAATGGCGAATGTGTTGAAACTTGGGGCCTGCCTCTTTCTTTCCCCCACTTGAAGGGCAGCGTGACCACAGATTTCAGGAGGGAGCACTGAGTATTTGTTTAGATCACAGGAACTGGCAGAATGGAGACTTTAGGCTTTTGGTTAAGTGGATTTCTAATTGCAAACTGCTTTCAGGCCAGTAGATCAGCTGTAGAAAGGTTACGTACAGCTCAGGGGTGCAAGTACAAACTCTGACATGGAGGTTATGCCATGGAATGCGAAGTCAGACTGTTTCAACCCAACTGACTATTTGTTTCTGCTACAAAAGTGAACTGAGCGTTATCACACGTGACAGTCGGGGCTTAGCTAAACTCATACTGTTTAAGATGATCAAGTTTGCGCATCTTTGCCTTCTGGTCTAATGTAATTCCCGCAAGTGCCACTGTCTAGCCCAGATTTAGTTGCGTTTGCTGTTGCGTTTAGTGCCATTTTGTGATGATCAGTGAAACGGCAGAGAAGTGTTAGGTGAAGGGCAGGGTTTTTTTCCCCCATTTTCCAACTAACAGTGGCTGCTTCTTTTACAGATGTGGTGGAGAAGGATCCAGATGGGGACTGCAGGAGGCTGGCCTTGCAGAACTTGCTACTAATGGAGAACCTGAAAAAGAAACTCAAAAGTGTCCCTTCCTAGCTGAAGGGTGAAAGAAATGACCTTGACTTTGTACTCTTGCCAGCTGGATGAGTGTAGGCACTGCTGGGGCCTCTTCAGCAGTCACCTGGCTGGAGAGGAGGAAGAAAGGGGGGGAAGGGTGCAGAGCTGTAAGCCAGCGAACCTGACTTGACATCTGGACTTTGTAGTGGAGGCCAATTTAGTGAGCGATTGCTATCCGGTACGGAGTGTACAGATGCAGGAAGGTAGGCTAGCACTGCCATCCTCCCCACGCCTCCCCAGCCCCCACCCCCAGCTATTTATAACCTTGGCAGGTTTGAGCGCTCTGCTAAAAATACAGGGAAGATCTCATAGCAGACTTCTTGTCAGAAAAACAGGAGGGCTGGAGAGCCGCTTACCTCCCAGGGCTGAGTCTTATGACATGCCCATAACAAAGGCTCCTGTGTCTTCTGGCGGTCAGCGTTTGGTGGAGTAGTTCTCGGTCTGCTGTTCGAAGGGGTGGGCATGGGGCAGGGAACGACACTGCTGATGAGATGCACGAACTGAATAGCTACAGGGAAGTTCTGAAAAGGTGCCAAACCTTAAAGGCTTGAGCTAGAGCTGTGCTGTGGTTAGGAAGGAACAAAGCAGGAATTCTTTTTGTATAATGTCGGTACAGAAATAAGTTTCTATTGAAGGATAACTAACGTCCAGCTTTTGGCCTTAAAATCTCCCCCCGCCCTTCTTCTCTGAAAGCATGTCATTTAAAACCTTCGTATTCACCCCAAGTTTTGAAGCAAGTCACAAAATGGGAGAAAAAATAAAATCATTCGAAGCAGAAGGGCTGGTTGGTATGAAATGTGTGAGAGTGTCTGCATAAATGCCCCTTTGTGGGGCAGGATGATGGGCTTAAAGGTGAGCAAAACCTTGGTTGCTTATGTTGGGCTTCACTTCTCATGGTCCTACTTGTGCCAGGGAAGAAATGTGCATCCTAAAATCTGACCAGTAGAGAGGAGCTTGACATCACTGTGGTGTTTGGAAAAGAAGCGTCACAGTGAGAAAGAAGCTCCGCTGGTGTAAAGTGACCCAGCTTGAGCAGTGGGGGTTGGACCAGACAACTCCAGAGGTCCCTTCCAACCCCAATCGTTCCGTGATTCTGAGATTTAGTCCAGATTTTTGTAAATGGTAGCTCTACAGCCTACGTGTCCCTATGACGTACTGAAATACAAAAGCTTTGGGTTGAGGGAAGTCTCTCTTCGTTCTGCAGTAGGGGAGCAGCTTCACTTTTAGCCAAGGCCCTACCTAAATGGGACAGAGAATGCTTTCAGAAGTTCTGACTTCTGGAGAATGACAAATCAGTTAGCACCTTAGCAGATGAAAGTTGTACTTGAAAATTTTGTCAACTCAGGAGTTTCCACCTCAGTTATTCAGCTTTTTTCTGTACTTGGAAAAAGGCCTGAAGTTACAATATGCAGTTCTTGTTGGGTTTTTTCCCCTCGCCTCAAATTTATTAAAGTACTAAAACCAGCTTCATTACAGGATACACACGTGATGTAGTATGTAGTGTTTGAGACACTATATTAACTTCAATACTGTTGCTTGTACAGTCAAGCAGGAAAAATAAATTTCTTGGTAATAACCAAAAAGCCTTGTCGCGGCAGTGTTGCGACTGCTATATGACCCCTAATGAGGACAGAATAAATGATCTAGTATTAAAGTGGACTTTGCATTTGGTAAGCACAAGTTGTCAAGGGTCCTCCACTTCATCAGCCACTTCTTCTTCCACCTCCCTGTTCTCCATACCGCTGTGGCAAATTTGCTCTGGAACCAGCGTTCGGCTTACGGGAATGCCTACTCCTCGGTGAACCGCCTCAACGGTCTGCTGAGTCACGTAGCAGCTCAGGTTCGTGGGTGGAATTCTTTTCTGCATCTCTTCCACATACCTGTAAGCCTAAATTAACGCAGAGAGATCACTGTCAGGGGAGGGCGTACGGCTTCTGGGAGTGCCAGCAAAACAGTGAAAAGCATCCACCCTTAGCGTGTGGCTGGCGGGAGCTCGGCATGGAAAGGGTGCTAAACCCTTAGCCAGGAGTTGTAGCCTTTGCTGACATGATGACCTTTCATAGTGAGTGTGTCAATTCTGTCTTTTTCAGTTTGAAAAAGAAAGGGTCTCAAAGGCTGGTTTTACATTCTCCGATAGGCACTGTCAAAACAACATGTTAAAACCAAGGCTAATCGGCACAGCTGGAGAAACTTGCACTTGGCATCCTTATGTTTCACAGGAGCAGCAGGTTACGGTTTAGTCCAAACACTGGTGCGTGTGGCACTTCTGCCCTGAAGAAGTGAGTCACCGTTTCCTCAAATGACTGCAATTTGACAATTTTCTTTTCTTTTTTGGCCAGGTGGCAAATAAAGTACAGTGTAATTGCTGAGACATGCACCCAGACAGACCCTCCTGTCCTTATCTTAATAACTGGGAATGTTTGAGAATCCACCACTATTTATGCCTTATGCCCTGTGAGCTTTCTTTTTCTCTTCAGTCCCATGAAATGAAAAACATATTAATGTGGATGTAGTTCCTGAGGTCTACCACACCCTGCTGAGCCGTTTACCTCCTCTAAAGGAGCCTCTACTATGGAATGTTTTCCTGGATGAGAGAACCCTGCTATACTAAGCTGTGCTGGCAGACAGAACATACGGGCTCTGTAGACTGGCAGAACTAAGAATTCACTTACCATATGGAAATCCTCCACTTGTACATAATGTTCAACCAGAAATCCCAAGACATCGCCGTGACGGACGGCGTCGTAAAAATCTTCTTCAGCTAGGAGAAGTTCACACTGTCTGACTGCTTCTTTGGGGTCTTCAGAGTAAACTCTAGTAAAGAGCGAAAGGAAACTGTTAACAGTCTGGAGCACAGCATTCAGTTGGTCACGTGAAGAACAGTGAAGATTTTTTTACTGTGTTACGTTCCATAATCACCTTTCTGACAGAGCTATGCTTTTCCTCGGTCAATACACTTGCTTATTATTTCATGTTACCTTTTCATCTCTAATGTCAACAGCACTTTTCAAAATCACATAATGGTTTCCCTGCTAGAAGAAGTTAACAGCAGCTTTTTAGAAGCCAGTCTGCAAATTATTTATTAAACTGTAGTTACTAGGACAACTTTCCTTCTTGCATGATAGTTCTGTCCTTGGCTTACACGCTCTGAATACTGCGGCTCACCTCCGAGCGTGGATGAATCGCTTAATCAGGGTCATCTTGCTTTGCAAATGTGCTAGTTTGCTTTCCTGTTCCAGAGGGCTTCTAGTCTTTGCTTTTGAAAGGCACTTACATGCTTCTGTCAGTGCTCCTTGTGCTTTCTCGTAGTTCTGATACTCATCGATTTCTACCTGTGAGAGGAGAAATGAGAGGAATGTCTTGCTCCAGAGCTCACAAACCAAACAAACACCTTTAGCAGTCACAGAAGGGGGATGTACCTGAGCACATGCGTCGTAGAAACCTGCCAGTAGGTCAAGGGCCCTTCCTTTAGTATAGAAGCTGATGATGTTCTTCATAATCTCGGGGTCCTTACGCCAATCCAGTGATTGTAGATAGTTGGCTGCCATGATATAAATCTCTCTTTGTCTGGAAACTCCCGCAAAGAAGACAATTTTCTCCGTATCTCCAGACTTCAGCAGTGCCCTCATAGCCTAGCAATGGAAAGCAGGGCATGGGGAAAGAGGAGGGAAAAAATACTGTGAATGCAGAAACATGAGCCATGTTAAGATGGCGAGGAAGCCTTGTCTGGATAGTCTACTCTATAAAGACTGTTCTGAGATTTACTTCTCAAAAAAACCCTTGTTTTGAGAAGTCTTAGGAAGGTAACAGGCTCAGCCTCTTCAGCTTTTTTCCCTACGTATCCAGGCTGACCTTTAACTTGTTTCCTGCTTGCGTGTATTTCTTGGTCGCCATGTGGTAATTGCCTTGTCGCATGCAGCAGTCAGCAATTTGCTCCAACAGTTCCCTCCGGGACTCCTCAGAGAGGTCCTTGGAGTCCTTAGGGACCGTCATCTTCTCGGCCATCTCCTCTGTGATGGTCAGGTTCTGCTTCAGGCAAAGTTGCAGAGCTTCATGGTACTAATGGAAGTGAGAAAGCAATGAGATGTTGCAAACACTACAGCGATACTCCGTGTTGCTTGTGGTGTAACCTACAGAAATGAGCTGTCTGAAAGCACATGCCAGCAGATGTGGATGCTCCATCTAGGACATTGTTGTGAACTTAAGCATCCCGACATCAATTCCTGTTCAAGTACAAGCTGTCTCATTTTGTTTGCTAAGAACGCCTTTGTTCTTCAATGAAGACCGTTGATTCTCACCTGTGTTCTCAGAGGACACTAGTGTGGCACTAAAGATGCATCCATTTTGTCTCTCTGAATGTGACATTCTCGGACATACAAGCCAAATTTATTAGACATGATAGATTAGATTAAGGTTTTCAGCAAATACAATAAAATACATACAGGTATTTGAAAGATTTTGTTCCAAATTTTGCTACTTCCCATATGGGAATAAATTATGAGTAGGATATACAATAGCTTTTAGCCCAGAAAAGGGCAACTGTACCCTTGTAAAACATGGGAGAAAGTAAGACGTAGGCGCTCATTAAAGAGGAGCGGGTATAGGACTGCTTTGGTACGCAGTGTTTTGGTAAGGCTGAGTTGCCAGCACAATAACGAGGGCACAGTAGAAGTGCGTAAAAGTCTAGGTGAGAAATGAAGTGCCTTAACTACGCTGGTGGTATCACAAGAGGGACAGCATTGGGGTTTTTTTTGACTGATGGTGTTATAATTTCCCTGTCTCCAAATATGTTAGTTTAGAGAGTAGGAGTTTTTCTTTTCCCAAGAGTGCAAAATTTGCAGGTTTTAAGCCAGAAATAAGACCAGAAGTCAGAAATCCATTTCTGGAGTTGAGCCAGAGGGCTACCAGCCCATGAGTCACCGGCAGGCGAGGAAACTTTAAATCATACAAATGTCTCCATATATCTGTTTACCACCAAAGATAAAGGTATGGGTGCACACGTACAGACCTGTTGTGCTCCTCTTTACCTGTGCATGGTGGGCCCAGAGAAGCACAAGTTTACCTTTTTGGCTGTTAGCAGCAACTCCACTGCCTTCTCATATTGAGCATGTTCAATAAAAAAATCAGAACAGCGAGCTAGCAGAGCTGGGTCTGATTTCTCATCCAGGTCTTCGGCAATGAGCTGTAGAGCCCCAAACTGCTGCGTGGCAAAGGCTAGCTCCAGTGCCTTGGAGAAATGTCCTGCCTGCACAATTAAGAATGCGGAGTTTTTTTAAAGAATAGAATAAGCACTGCAGAATCAGTTTACAGGATATCCTAGAGTGGATTAATAAAGCATTACCCACCATAAAGAAATGACTAATAAACAGGACATAGAGTAAAAGCTACAGTTGATTTAATGTTCCTCTGCTGTAGGAATTGCTTCAGTTTAAAGTTTGGTTTTGGTTTGGTTTTTTTACTAAAAAGTCATTTACCTTGTGGTATAACATGACAGCTCTGTCCATTTGCTCCCCCTTTTCCTCATAATAGCAGGCTGCCTCTATCATGTCTTCCGGAGAGCTCAGAAGAGCCAGGTTCATCAGCTGATCATCTAAATTGTTCTCCTGTTCAAAAGCAAAGGTTTGGCTCTAGGTGTGCAGCAAAGAGATTTCATAATTCTGTCTTCTGGCAAGCTTTACACTGGCACAAAGTAGCCCATCAACCCCCTCCCGTGTAAAACCTATACCAACCCAAGTAACTGAGCTGCAAGGATGGTAAGTTGTTTCAGGCAGTTTTCTGTTGCGATAGACAAGAAAATAATGTCCCGTACCTTTATTGACGCATCTTTTGTAGAAAATGCAGGCAGAAACCAGGAGCATCTTCATAGTGGGCTATACGTGAGCAAGCAGTGTCTCACAAGAGAGAACGGGCACAACCAACTTCTACCGCTCTCATTCTGTATGCTGCCTAAGGACAGAATCCTACTTTGCTTTTGGACATAAATGTACCTCTTCACATACCTTACACAAGCGGATGGCATTGTTAAATGCCTGGGCCCTGGTGTAGAAATGTACAGCCTGCGTGATTTCATCCTGACTCTCATACTGGCGGGCCAAGTGATAGGATGCTGCCCAATTCCCCGTTTCATTTGCTATTTCCGCAGCCTGAAAAGGAAATCATAGCTTTACTTTGTGCCCAGGAATGAGAACTCTCTGGAAGCAGAAGGGAGCAGGCTGCCTTACCTTCTGAACGTTGCCCTGAAAGCAGTGGACACGGACTAGGGAAAAATAATCCTCAGCCAGCGCATAGTATTTTAGTGCCGATTCCATATCTGATTGGCTCTCCAGATACTGTGCCCACCATTTCCACAGGCTCCTAGAAAAGCAACAATAGTAATTGCAGTAACAGGCAGTGCCAGAGACCGCATTATTTCACTCCTGGTGATCTTGAACTCAGATTGGATATTTTTTTTTCCAGCATGTAGACAAGGCTTTCCCCCCAACTCAAGGGTGACATTCAAAGGTCTGCACTACAGGGGAGGTCAGCCTACATATCTAACGTGGTGGTTCTTGAGTGACACGCAGCATAATCCTGAAAAGCTGTAGAAGGAGCAAAATGGATAAGGCAGGGGTCGAGCATGTGGCTGACAGGATCCATACTCCTCCGTCCCTGCTCTCTTCACAAGTTGTATTTCAGACCTAAAAAGTCCCATTTGGGAGAAGGAACAAGCTTAGCACTGACCTGTCTTTCATCTTGTTGATGTAGTTCTCCAGGGCTTGTAAGTCTTCAGAGAGCATTCGCGGTACCTCGAACCTATGTGTGTCGGACTTCTCATAGCTGTAGAGAAGAACGTATTCGATGTGAAATGACTACCTTCTTATTAGCCCATTTAATGATGTTGTTTGACAGCGGTAGAGCGACAACACTGGTAGCACTGCTTCATGTGTGTTATTAAGATGTTCACTGTAAGACCAGTTGCAGTCTGCCAGCACCATCAAAAATAAAAAGTTCAATGGTCGTGCAAGGCAGCTGGAGTCCGGGAGGCAATGTGTTCACAGGCCAGTAAATACTTTTATTAAAGTGCCAGTGATGGTCCAAAGAAATCTCCCAGAAAGCTCCCCAAACATCAAGCATGTCCCTGTGCAGCTGGCTGAAGAGGTCACAAAAGCCCTGGGCTGCTCACCTTGCCTAGTCTTGCTGCCGTCCACTGCAACTTCAGCCTCTTCTCCACTACTGGGAGACGACTGCTCTTGGGCCACCGTCTACTGTTAGAGTCTCTCCTCACCTCCCTGCCCACCTTGATCATCTAATGGGGCTGTCTGACCACATCAGAGCTTTACTTTGACTCTGACTAGAAGTCACCTTATTATATTGTGAGGCTTCATATGGTAAAACTCCTATAAAAACAAGATTTCAAACAACAAATACAACACATTAAAAAAACCCCACCTCCCGTAACAACTTCTCTAGGGACTCATCAGCTACAAGAGAGGACCAGGCGCCAGAAGCACCCAAGTCAGACTAAATTCTGCCACAGCAGTTGTTTCTGGGACTCTCAGGAGACGTAAACAAGTGGTTTTGTCATGGAAAGGGAAGGAAAAGAAGGCAGTGGTCTTCCAGAGTCAAGTACAGGATTGGATATTAGTGGGGTTCAACTATTGGCCCCGACAAGACCCTTAACCTTTCTGACACTGAGCTTTATTAGCCTGGGAGGGTGCTGGGAAGTTTATTGTTACAATGCTTTCGCTCCATGAGATAGAAAGCACCAGAAACAGGAAAAGACTTTAATTAATTATTACTGCTCATCATCAGACAGCCTCCTTAGCCTGTCTCCAGTCTTTGCAGGAGAACAAGGCTCCAAATCCCCTGGGTGCCAGTGGCGGGTGCTTACTGGGTGAGTGCAAGGCTCCGCTCGCCGCTTGCCTCCAGGTGCTTAGCGTAGTTGTAGTACGTGGTGCGTAGGTGAACCCGATCGTGAGCTTCGGCTGTTTCGATGGCTTTCTGCCACTGGTTTGAGGCTTGATAGAACTTGTTTAGGAGGTCGTAGCGTTTGCAAGCCTTGTACAGTCGCTCCGCATCCTCCTGGAAGGGGAGCATACAAACACCTCGTTAGCTCTGACCGGCGGTTCATAGGTGTCGTTCACGCCAGACGCTGCACTTCGGAGTAGTTTATTAGTGCAGGTCATTGTAATGCAATTAAAGTAACAATAATTCAGGCAGGGGGGTTAACCAACTAAATATACGTTGCCTGGAATAGCACATTACTGGGAAACAGGATGTTTATGTGAAAATAAGGAAAGCACTCAGATCCTGGCATTTACTGTACAGTATCAACTGGGGGTGGGGGGTGACATCAGCAAGCCGTCAACAATTAAACGCTGTCATCAGGAGCTTAAACCATTTCAGAAAGGGGAGACACGCTCGTGTGAGGCTACAGTTAACAGCCACGCTGCCTACCCAGAGGTGAGCACCAGAAGGGCCGAGGCACTACGGGTTTTGGCAAGAAGACGTTAGGTGCCAGGGGACCTCCTGCGCCCTCCGAGCAGGTCTCAGAGGTAGCAACGCTGTTCGTGGATAACTGAGATCCATTCCTGGGAATAAATGCTATTAATTTAAGCCAGAATTAGAACAGGAGGATTTTTGCCGATGCTGACGCAAGGGCGAGCAAATTTGGAGCTATTATTTTTATGTTTTGCGAGGTACTCCGGTGGAAGAAGCATTTTCCTGCTCCACCCAGCTGAACACTATATTTAGTAAATTGAGATTATCTGTCCAAGACAGAAAAATAGTTTGTCTCTTATTGTTTCAAATTCAAAAAAGCGTAGAAATTAGAGGAGGAAGATGCCTGTACTATGATTCTGTATGAGATGAAAAAGAAAAAAAAGCAACAAAACTGCATTCGTTTTGCTGCAATTCCCCTGCACCTCTCCAAATAGATCTCAGTATCTGAAAGAAGTAGTGACACTTTTCAGCCTCTTAGCTTTCTCCGCCAGGAAGCTTTTCCAAACATTTAGTTTGGATTTTCCTTTCCTTCTTCACTTTAACTCAGAATAGTTACTCCCTCTAGCATTTATACTCTTAAAACAGTTGTAAATTGCTAAACACCTTTTTAAACCAAATTCTAATTATTTGGCTATCTTAAAGATTTCCTTGTCTGTGATAGCTTTCCAAGAGTTTAACAATTTGCACTGATTTTCTCTGAACTTCTTCCAGTTCGATGTTTTTTTCTGGTAATGAGATACTTAAGGGTGGAAGTCAATGTTCCAGCTGTAGCTGCAACAAAGACACAGACAGAAGTTACCAAATCAAAGCCTCAGGATGTGGCATCTCCTCAAATGCAGTCCCAAACGGATTTTTGCTGTCATAGCACCTTGCCGGTTTTATCTCATTCGTGATTTCCTATGAACTGTGGGGTATTTCATCAATTCTCCTTTCCCAGTTTTTCCCTCTGACAGATCGTATGCCTGGATCTTTTCCAGTTCCCAAACTAAAAATCTCTGCTTTTCTTACAGATCATTGATGAAGGCATTAAATAAAGGCGAACCATAGTGGAATACATGCTCTTCGCATTCATCTAACTTAACAGCGTGCTGGTCAGTTTTGAATCCACACGATAACGCTGGTCTCAGACCCATTTTAGATCTCAGTTCTACTGGTAATCAAGTGGAGTGGGTTCAGCCTACGATAATAAAGACACATGGGAAAGCCAAGGTCCATTTTGGTATGTATTTGCTGTCAGGTTGGGCTCCAGGTACAGGTCCAAGGGACAGTCACCCTGTGCACCAGACTACGGGGAGAACAGCCTGACCGCGTCCTCTGGCTGTGCTGGATCCAGGCAAGTTACTGCTCACGCAGCAGGAGAAACCGGGATGGAAATTTGGGCAACTGCAGCACAGCAGGCATCCCTGGGACAGCACAAGCAGCGAACGTGACTCGCCAGAGTTCTCCATCCCTGCAGAAAACATCAATTTTGCCTAAACTGCTTAAATGCCTTAAGCCAGCCCTCACTCTCCGGCAGAACACAGCTTTAGCCTTTCACCCTACAAACAAACATGTCAAAATGGAACTTGTGTTTCCCATACTGGACCTTAAAATATGTTTGTTGAAACATTTTAGCTAGTATACTTCAAAGTACATCCTTTTTTTAATCCAATCAAACCTAGAATGATTAAGCTTGGAAGAATTATGCCCCAAGAAAACAGTTTTTCTGTTTAATGTTTCACACATAAACCATCCTTAAAAGATGTTTCCTTCATTCAGCAATTTTTCATACGGGAGTAAAACTCCTGTATAAATTCTGCACAGCAGTTAAGAAAACAGACAAATTAATTTGCTATACCCTTAGGCAGGTATGGGTCCTGGTACTCTTTATTTCCACGCAACAGATTCTGCCACTCTCTACTCCTTGAGGAACACAAAAAGGGCTCAGGGGACTGCTGAGCCTCTGGAGCTCAGGAAAAGCCCCAGATCAGTGTCACGCAGGAATCGTGCGGCACGGGGTTGTGCAATGCTGAAGGAGGTGCCCATTTCCCTAGGTCAGAAACTCAACTGCAGAAATAGAATTGTCCGAGCTATTCTTCATCACTCCTTGGAAACCTGGCAATAGGTTTTACTCCCCTCCAAGGTTTTTGCATCTCAGAATTTTTAAAAAATGATCAGTTTCTCATTTTTGTCCCTAGTTAAGTGGGGTGGATGTTCCCGGATGCGCATAGTCGGCGGGGTTTACCAGCATGCCCAGCTGAACGGCCAGCACAGCCACTCTGGCCTCCTGCTCTGGTTCTTGTTCAGCCTCCCTCAACGCCTTGGCTCCTCTCGCGTGACCCATGTTTCCAAGGCAAATTTTGGCAACATCGAGCCTCTGAGTCTTCACGCACATGCGAGCCATGTTCTCCCAGACAGCCTCACTGTGAGAAACGGGAAAGAGAAGGAGAGCTGTTACGGTGTCACCTTTAAGGCTTGGGTACTAAGCAAGTAAGATGCAAGGAAAGAGGAGAGCGTGAGAGGGAAAACCCTTGGTACGTTGGGCACTTGTAACAGATGTAAGAGGCTCCGGCTGCTGTGTGAAGACTGAAGAGGAATGGAAATAGGGCTCAGACATAAAGGTTAGTTCTGGAGCTGAATGCCCACAGCCTTAAGGAAATATCGCGGGTTTTGTTTTACATCAATGTCTAAACAAAAGCAGGTACGTTCACATGTACAGAAACATTTATCATGCACCCATCACTGTGGTTCTGGCTGTAGCTGTAACATATAGACATTCACAAGACCCCCATGTCAATGTTCAGAATTCAAAAAAAAAACTATGAGAAAAAGTCTTATATACTTAAACTTACACTGGAAATGTCCTGCTACTGTCCTGCATAGCTCAAACGTGGAACAGCCATTAGGAGCCTAATAGTTGCACTCGGTAACAGGGACCGATGCATAGGAAACAATGGACCAGACTATCATGTTCTCATTTAAAACTTGCATTAAAAATGGCACAAAGAAAAGCTTTGCGATGCTCAGAATGAGAACTCCCGAGGGCCAAGAGCTCGACGGAAGGACCACGACACAGTTGACCATTACATGGGGTGACAAGCAAAGATTTTCATAGATTCTATTTACATTTGAGGCCCTTCAGAATAAAATGCAATATGTCTGACTAATAGAAACCATAAGCATTCAAAACATGGGGATTTTTTCAGGGTGTGAACCTCAGCGGAGGTATGGTCCATACAGCTCTCAGACACTACCACAGCACAAAATAAGTGTGTAAATGATAAAAACAGGAAAAAAAATATGAGAGTTGAATGACACTTCAGGTCCTGCATCTGCAAGCAAATCCCCTTCCAGTTTTCCTATGATTAAAATGTTTTTCTCTTCCCAGTTGCTGTGGGAAAACCTTGCACAAACAGGGGAAAGTGACTAACCGGGAAGCAGCACAGCAAACGAGACACGACGTGCTGTCAAACACATAAAGAAAGGCAGAGAAAAAAATGCTTTTCCTAATGTACTTTACAACAAGAGCATCTTTTCTTTGTGACTACAACTGGTATAAAGTTTTCAGGCAGTAATCAACATAAATATTGACATAAACTTCACTAAGGTCAAGCAGTACAGAGAAAATAAAATAGGATTGGAAGTGATAAATCAGGGGTAAATTTCAGATAATTCAGAAGTTCTACTTGTTTAGAAAATGCAAAAATGCGTGTCTGGATATTTTACTAAATTTCTTAAATCCGCATGTCCATGCTGAATGTGGTTTAAACGCAGCTTCCTCTCTTGCTCTGCTCCGACACGTCCAGGTCCCTCCGACTGGGAAGGCAAAAGGAACACTGAACAGAGTGCGGTGATTTCCCAGCTGGAAAGGCCTTACAAAAACTTCAGTGCTGGATCCTTCTGAGTGCAGGTCTATGCATCGCCACTCAATATAGAAATGCTGGCCATATAAATCAGCAGATGTGACCTTCTTGATTTTTGAATATTGGAATACACTGCCTGTATCTGGAACTAGAAAACCAGGAAAAAGTCCTTTAAAGAACATTTGGGTTGTGTTAGATATGGTCACCTGGCTTTGATCAACAAGGACAGCGAGTTCTGTCATTAGTAAAAGACGTCAAATCTCGTGTGCATGAGCATGGCTGTGCTTCGCTACACACAAGGAAAAGAAATTTATTTTCCAAAATCTGTAGCATGCCAGAAGAAGTTGCCAATAGCCATTTTACTCTGGGTGAAGGAACGCATGCCTGTGCTGCGCTTTGTCAAACTGACTAACAGCAAGTTTCTGAAAGAAATCAAAATCTTTCTTTTGCAGAGCCTTGACAGCTCACAGTTCTCTCAGTGCAAGAAGATGAGAGTTCATGGGTTTCAACAGACAAGCAGATGAGAAATCTTATTTAGACTACAGGGAGTGGAAACTTTTGAAAGGAACTAGACCAAACAGTGTATTTTAAAGTACAAAGTTAAAAGATAACAGTGTGCAGAGACACACAGCAGGACATAGAAGACGCTACTCATCATCTGTCGGCTACATGATGCTTTCCTGAATGGCAACGGCTCCTGCCAACTTGAAAACTCGGTGGGAGCTGCTGCCCCAGGGATTCCTCTTTGGGAGCTGTTGCCCCACACACCACCTGCCCGCGGGCCACCTCGGCACCCGTGCCAGCCGTACGCAGTGGACCACCAAGAAGTGCCTCAGCCCTGAGGAGCTGGAGCTCTGCCATCCCCACCTCTTCCTCCTCCACTCTAAACCATTTGCAAAACTAACCTGAGAGGCTCCAGCAGTGGGCTACTGCTTGGGGGCAACAAATACAGAGGAAGAAACATCTCCAATTGATGTGCTCTGCATTTAATTTTATTCTGGTAAGCACTGCCTTCCCGACAGTCCCAGCTGGGCAGTCACAGACCCAGCACTGCAGTCAAACCGGACCAAAGACCCTGAATTTGGAAGCGTTGACGGTAGAGCAGACTAAGAGCAGCTCACCAGCACAAGTACCTGAAACCTGAAAACATCACCTCCCTCTGACCATCCCTCCTCCTGCCTCTGCCCTCCAGAAGCGCTTGACGGAACATTTCCTCTAACGAACCTGACCCCGCTCTGCACAGAGGAGTTCCCGCTCTCCCACCGGAGCGAAGGACGGCAGCTGCGTGGGGGAGAACCCACGGCCAAACCTTCTCCCCCGGTCCATGCGGGGCTGCAGCAGAGGCTGGTGCTCTCCAGTAGACATGTCCCTCACAAGAAGGACACTGCTCTGGTAAGGGACCTAGATGTATTATTTCAATTTTCTTCCGGCGGCAAAATATTAGAAAACTGTTTCTGCTTTGAGAGACCATTCATTTTAGCACTGCACTCCATAAACTGCTGCTAAGGTACGCAAGTATTTCTGACACAGCAACGTACTATTTGCTTGCAAAGATCATCTTCATATACATATATTATATTTGTCTGTATTTATTATTTTAATATATTGTTTATTACATCTTATTAAAAAACTAGAAAGGTACCAGAGTACCACCACCCTGTGAAATGCAAAAGATCCAAAGTACTTTACAAAAAACAAACCACCACACCACACACAGAAGGTCTCGCTGCCTAACAGAGGCACAAACTGCAGAGCCGTTGATGACCACAAAGCACCGTGACCGAGCCTCGGCTGGGCCACGGCACGGACCGGGTCTCACCGAAACCCTGGAGGGCTAACACAGCAGATCCGCGCTCCCAGACCTGAGCCAGAGCCAGGACACCGGGACTGACCCACCACAGCTCCTGCAGAAAGACCAGGGGCCCTTTAGCAGAGCCTCAGTTTAACCTTCACCCTGGAAGGACACCTCCAACCTCTCCACACCACGGCTGATCAGAGAGAACAGACGCTTTTCATAATGCCAAATTCCTTTTTAGAGATTTCCCTTGCAAACTATTGAGCCCGAGGCACCCGGCAGGCTTGCTGGCAGGAGCAGGCATGCCTGCAGGCAAGGGATGGTTTTACAGAAGAGAACGATCTGGGAAGCATTGGCAACACGCTTCCATGTTTCTCCATGTCTCAAGAAGCCCAGCCTTGGCCTTGGGATGGCACAACCTCCCATAGGATGGCAGACAGACACCTCCAGCACCACAGCACGAGTCCTGCCCAGCAGCTTTGCTGCCCTGTGGGAATGTGGGCAAATTAATGCAAGTCTGGTTAAAGAACAAGCAATAAGAACAGGCTCACTTAAATCCCAGGCAAAACCATGGTTTCTCTCTCAACAGCTGTTCGTGTAGAAAGACAAATCTGTCCTTGCATCCCTAAAAGGCAGCAACTCTTCTTTCCGGGCCTGGCCCCTCTGTCGCATACAAAATGCCAAGTAATAATTTACCCTGCCCCCAGCTCATGCTCTGGGAATTTCCTGTTCTTCCCCTCCTCCTTCTCCTTTTCTCCCCCCCTGGAAAGCCGCTCGCATCTGTACTTCATCAGCCGAAGCCGGGAACTTAATGAAGACCAGACGCAGCAACAGCGGGAGCAGAGCCATGGGAATGCGCTCCCCGAGCATCCTGGGGGAGCGATGCCTCCCCACGAAGCACACAGATAAATGATCTGCTCCTGCACCCCAAACTCCCCGGGCTTCAGGCCACATCAACAGCGCTATGGATTTGGAAAGCAAACTTGGGACACCTCGTAAGACCAGACACAAGTTTTACCGCATATTTGATGAAAAAGTTTTTTTTCCTTTGATCTTTTGCAGCTGTTTATCTATAAAACTATGTTTATAGCATCTAACAGTCTGATATTACAAACCCTTCTGTTCCTATACATTTTTTCATCGCCCACTTTGCATGAAAGTTTAAAGAGAAAAATCCAGTAAATGTAGTATTATTTAGAACCGCTGGAGATTCACATGTCTAAAGCATCTCACTACAAAATCTCTCCCCCTCTATTTAACGGGGTATATTTGGAAAATGAATGTATGTTCCGTCTCCTGCCTTTAAACATCCTGATCAGGAGCAAAAAAGAATCTCTCTTTGCAATTCACGCCCCACTTCATTGAACAGGACCCTGAGCATTCTGCTTTAAAAGACTACTGTATAACACAAAGGGAAATGCTAATGTAATATCTATAACACTAACATCACATTAATATCGGTAACACTATATTATACATAGCAACATATTATTACATCCCTATAACATTATATTATAGAGAATATATCATAATACATCACTACGTCCCTAACACGTACATCGACCTGGAGCGGGTGGGCGTCCCCTTGTGCCTCAGGCACAGCCCAGGCTGTCAAAAATAGAAATAAATCCAGCAAAGTGGGAGAGTTTTTGCTGACCCAACGGTGGGGACAAGGAAGCTTCGCTTCCCTATCACAAAATAAACCGTCTAAGAAATTCAGAGCAGATTCTCAGCAGCTCAGCCAAGCGGGAGGGCAGGGGATGTA